GGTCTTTCTTGTACCTGGGGTAATTATTCAATCTAAATCCAGGTTTGAAGTGAGGTGGAATGTGAGTTATGTGATATGCACGTGGCAGCCCAGCAAGAGATGTATGGTCAGTTGCTTTACTTTTTTGTAAATCAACTGATCATTCCCAGACATCAAAGGATCAACAGGAAATACGTTGATTGATTAATTACGGTTATCTTGCACAGTGGATATGTCAAAAGTAAGTGTTTACATGTGAAGGTAGGTTTACTAGACCTAGGCAATACACTCATATCATGGCGTGAAGTACAGATGTAAAAACAACATACTTTGTTCAAAGAGTAACCGATATTACACTGACTGGTTGTTCATTGTTATTTAACACAATGTATGTTTTTAAGAACCGAGGACATTATAAAAATAGTTGTCACGTGGGCTTTCTCAGCAAACTTGGCACCTATGTGAAACAATTGAAACAAACTAAGTGATCAGTTAAGAAACAAACACGGGTTATAATATTCGATACATTTAAATAACGTTTAAAAACGATATATTTAAATATTTTAATATATTTCATATATATTCCAAATATTGTTTCCAAATAATTATTATTAAAGTATTTGATTCTCACATAGACATTTGACATCGGATAAGTATTTTTGTACAGCTGCAGACGCAATGGATATTGTTCCTTTATGTTGATATTCCCGGATACATTATAACTTTGGTAGGTTGTAATAATTATATTTGCATTTTGTTTTCATTCATTCGCTGCAGCTTTGAACAGAATCATTCTTGTTCCTTTCCGTTTGGTTGGGAAGTTTTTCGATGCGCGATAGACGTTGTTTTCGCAAGTATTTTCTTTTGTAAGCGTGTATATGTTACAGTCAATGTGTAAAATATGATTCACTCAGGCAATTTTTTAAATATCTAAATATTTCAGTCATTTTACAAATTGACTGAATAATCCATTCATTTATTTAACCGACTGACTAAAAATGATAAAGACGATCAAAAGAGCTTAAACACATCACAATATATTAATTATGCTAAGAAAAGAAGCCCAACAATACAGAACTGTACTTGGTGATGATATTAAACATAAACAAATATTTGGAATTCGTTATCATATTAACAAAGATGGACATATTTTTCAGTTAATTTGTAAAATAAACTGAATATTTAGGCGTTTAATAAATTTACTTAGTGAAATATGTTTACATTTTGAATGTAAACATATACACACGGTAAAATAAGCAATGTTCAGATAAAATATTTACTTAGTGTTGCAAGTCAAAATAGTGTACACAAAGATCGCACAATTACCAAGCAAGTGACTTACAAAAACTGCATCACCATTACCGATGCTCCCCACAAATGTACCTACATTTCCAAAACTGTATTTCATTTTTGTTGATCAATGTGACCATACGTCCTTCTACTATCAATAAAAATGCGCTTACGAATGGCGAGCACAGGTCGCGAACAAGTCTAGATTTCTGCTATATCATCCGGGTACTCACTGGGAAAATACAGTGATGCACAGGTAACAACTACTCCCGCGGAATTGCTTTAGATCAGTGCTCCTTTGTACGTTGAAATACTATATATTGTGAATGCCAAAATGATGTATCAAGGATCAAGTAGAAGATACATTGACCGTAGCGCTGGGAGTTTATTCAACAGACCCGTGAAAATAACACTGCTGTATCTTACTATTTATTTTAGATGACGCAGTCAAAGCTCACTTCTCCTGGCGGCCATTATCGAACGGCCAGCTAAAACACAACCCCGCGCTTACGTCTACAGGTCTCTTCCTGTAGTACGGTAATTAGTATTCTCTCCTCAAGTGTATCCTCAATGATATAACCCACCCTCATTAATTACATGCTGCTCTTTTCCAGCCTCACGGCTATGGAGCTGAGATAAAGAGTCCAAGTCATCATAAAGTAATTAGGGTCCAATAAAAACAATGCGCCGCCAAACCTCATACATATTATCACTGAAAGTCGTACTACAGACGGTTAATGTCAAATCACAATAAAAGCATTTTAATTGCAATAACATGTTCCAGGACCATCTATTATCTTAACACCATCGGATTTAGAAGCAATGGTCGTATAAAACAAGACAGATCTATTTAAACACAACAGTATTCATGTTATTCCCACAAAATCACATAAAGAAAGGAGACATTAGCAAATACATGTGTATTATCATTTTTCGTCAGGATAACAAAATGTTCTCTCCTTGTTACCACCTCCAGGTTCAGCTTAAGACGGGTCCTCCTTTGGTCAAAAGTTTGTTCCCCCACTAATGAGTGTGTCACGCGTTGCACACGAGTGGCGGTTGGGGTGCGTGTAAGGGGAATGGACTTCTAGGCAGTAGTGTACACGGTTTGTATATTCACGTTGATTGGACAGTCTAGACTGGCGCCAACTAATCATGACGGCGTCTTCAGAACAGAACACAACTTTATTTCTCTCAGGTTTAGGCTTACGTGGATAACGGAACATTTTGTTTAAGTGATAGCACATTTGTAATTCAATCTAATATACTTTCCTTGATTGATTATATGGCTGCGGTCGTAGATCCGGATGTATCTTAATATGCTCAGTATATACACAGGGTTTATTGTTATACTATTAGGATTAATAGAAACAATTGAGTATTTATACCCTTGATCATAAAGTTAGTCACTACTTTCACACTTTGATTTGTATGATTTGGGTTATGATTAAATTGTCAACAACAAAAATCAATCCGTGTATATGTGTATTATATAGTGTACCCCAATACGTAATTAAATTGTGTATAAATAAGGACACTAGGTTACTTACTGTAATTGATTATTTGATAAACAGATTCACATTTAGTTGTGTGATATGTCACAGAAGTAAAGCTAATTCATAACAACTAATTGTCCCATTTATTTGGTTTCTATCTTTTATATGAAACAAATGCTATAACATGGGGTGATAAACTTCATTGGAAATAGACGTAGCATATAATTGTCCACATGAACAGTCAACTCTGTTCCAGATATGTTTATTCATTTTTTCAGCATTTAAATCGTTGCATTCCTGGCTAAATAATTCATTTGACGAAATATTGTTCCCTGTTTTGAATTACAGTCAGATAGTTCCAGAACAATTATACAATTTTCAGCCCTATGTGTTGCGCATAATTCCGAGATAATTCGCATTTCATATTCTTGTACGAACACTTATCAAAATTCATTTATACCTAGTACTATTATGTACATATGTATATTAGTTCAAATTATAATAATGAGGCCCTCTATATTCTCGAAACGGTCTTTGTTCTACGACAACCGTAAGTCGGTATGGGAAAACAAAATATTTGTTTAATTGTTCAAAGTTCAAAGTCAATGTCATATGATTATAGGCAAGGAAGATAAGAAATTAGATATAAAGAGTAGCCACTTTAAATGACAGAATTTCTTTTAGTTAAATTTGCTCATGATTTGGTCTTTTTCGTGGAACATAGTGCCAAAATACTCTTAATTATTTACTTTCATGTCATTACTAATCTCACATAAGGTCAAAAGTTGTACAACGTTTAACAGATATGATTATGACATGTTGTATCCAAATATTTCCAAACATTTCCAAACAAATCCAAACAAATCCAAACAAATCCAAGCTTGGAAATATGACCTTTCCAAATATTGGAATGGTCATATTTCCAATTGGAATGGTGGTATTTCCAAGTTTTGGATTTTTTGGAATGGATGATATTTTGTCCAGTGCATCTGTACGGTTATTTATACCTTCGCAGAATTTTTTCCAGTCTCTACTTTTGGCTATTTGGACTAGTTTTCGAACCTGGTGGTTTAGTTCGTGGGCTATGTTTAAATATTTGTAGTCGCGTTTTGCTTTATTGAAGGCTGATTTACGTTTTCGTCTAGTCTGTTCTATTTCCTCATTCCACCATGGTACCGTCGGTTTGCCTGTCTTAGATGTTTTGAAGGGGATGGAGGTTTTGGCTGCGTTTATTATATAGTCTGTTAGGTTTTTACAATAGGTTTCTGGATCAATATTTTCTATTTCGTTTAAGTTAGCTTCGTTGCAGATATCTTGGAATTGGTCCCAGATACGTACCCCAAGATCATTTTTATTTGTTTGATGAGTAGATAATCTCAACTCAACTCCTTCAACTGATCATACAGTAAGACAATTAAGCTACTCCATAGTTTACATAGTAAATCTCATGCCTATTGAACCTGTGCTGAGAGTAAGGTATTTTAGATTAATTAAACGAAATTGTAACATATATACTCCCTAAACTGTGAGTCCCCTATCCCTACTCAGTACTTTAATCTAATAAGGACTGATCCATTACACCTGTAGGTATAATCCCTCTTTGCCTAGGTAAAATTGTCTAACAATTGGGACGTCTAACTAATGGGACGTCTAACTAATGGGATATAACCTATGGAGCTGAGGTAAAGAGTTCAAGTCATCATAAAGTAATTAGGGTCCAATAAAAACAATGTGCCTCCAAACCTCATAAATATTATCCCTGGAAGTCGTACTACAGACGGTTAATGTCAAATCACAATAAAAGCATTTCAATTGCAATAACATGTTCCAGGACCATGTATTCTCTTAACACCATCGGATTTAGAAGCAATGGTCGTATAAAACAAGACAGATCTATTTAAACACAACAGTATTCATGTTATTCCCACAAAATCACATAAAGAAAGGAGACATTAGCAAATACATGTGTATCATCATTTTTTCGTCAGGATAACAAAGTTTCTCTCCTTGTTACCACCTCCAGGTTCAGCTTAAGACGGGTCCTCCTTTGGTCAAAAGTTTGTTCCCCCTCTAATGAGTGTGTCACGCGTTGCACACGAGTGGCGGACGGGGTGCACACCCGTATTCAACACGTTGCACACGGGTATCACACGCGTGACCAACCCGATGCACACTGGTTGCGTAACGCGTTGCCCATGCGTGTAAGGGGAATGGACTTCTAGGCAGTAGTGTATCTGGAATATTGCTGAGTGCGGCGTTAAACAACAAACAAATAAAATACGTTGTATGAAAGCATCAGGGTTAAGCAAACACACTCGTAAGCTTTCATATCAGCGTTAACTGTGTGAATCAACAAGACATATTTTCCCTGGGCCTGTTCTGTTCCTATAGGAACACAATGACTGGGCCCGTTTCTCCCTCATCAACGTCGCAGTAGATATGTTGAGAGGCCCGTGATGTGGTGTCCCTTGAGGGAAGTGTGTCTTCCGGATCTGTCCTGTAATCACAATTGATTATAATTTAATTTAATTAGACATTGTAATATTACAAGTGAAAGGTAATGATATTGTCGGAATCGTACAATGAACATTCCGCTGTGTCGCCTTTATTTGTATTTGGGATGAGTACATACGCCTGTAGTTCTCTTAAATGCAAGAATGTGTTCGCGTGTGAAATGTGCGTGTGTTATTAACGCAGCTCTCAATTAAAGCTACATGACGGCGGCCCGTATATAATCGAGTCTTGGCCAGACATTGATCTGAGCCACGATCTACGCCGTCGGTGTGCGCTGTTACTCGCCATCAGACAAATCACCGAGCCTCACCACCCGATCCGGTAAAGTCACCTCTTTTGAGGGACAATGTCCAACCCAGAATCCCGACAGGTTGTTCAGCAGTAGCATGACTTTTAAATGTATCGTCACTTCCCTGAACGTGTCCTTGGACGAGTTGCTTTAAGGCTGGACTTAGATAATCAACGTCCCAGAAGGTGCCTTCGAATCCCATTCAGAACAATGAACAGCACTACTTCTCAGTAACACACCTGTTCTTGTGAGGACTTGTATGCCCCCTCCCCCGATAGGTTTAGCAATACCAATATTCACATAGTTAAAACAATATAAAATGTACCCAAGAAGTAGTTAGTACCCTAAAATAGCAAGACATATAAATTCATTAAATATTAGTGTGGAAGAATGATAGTATCATCTGGTCACCAACCTTCTTGCAGCAATACCCTTCCTGTAGCAGATGTAGTGTGACACCAGGACACCAAGGATGAACACCACACAGCCTATCGGGAGTCCGATGTTGATACCATTGGACTTGGAATCTGCTGAGGAATCATAGCAACATAGATAATGCAGAGAAACTTCGTGAGGACATCGGTGGCTACAAGTTGGGTTGGTGGAAAGACGGGTTGGTGGTTTGGTGAGTAGGTGAGTAGAGTTTGTGGTAGTTGAATGGGCTGGTGTTAGATTGGTTGGTACATAGATGAGTTGATGAGTAGGTGGGTTTGATGTGTTTAAGATGGGTTGATGATTAGATAGGCTGGTAGATAGATGGGTAGATGGGTTGGTGGATAGACAGAATGATGTTAAGATGGGTTGATGGTTAGATAGGCTGGTAGGGAGATGGGTTGATGAATCGATACATTGGTGGGTAGATGGATTGGTGTTCAGATGGGTTGATGGATCGATCGTAGATGGATTGGTGGTAGATATAGAAAGATACAAATAATATAAAATAATAATAAATTTTATACAAGTAACAAACATTTTGTTTATTCAAACAATCACTTTAGTTAAAATGATAATCTTCGTTTGAGTATTTTGGGGTACCTGTATCACATGTCTGTGCATGAAGACAATAGTCCCTGGAACAGTTGCTGGTACAGGAAGGTTTACATCCACGTTCGCTGACGTCACATCCGTTGACACATGCGCCAGTCATCTGATCACAGATCCCCTCGCGGCAAACCTCACAGCTGTGATTACAAAACTCACCATAATACCCTGGTCTACATCCATCTACACAGACCCCGTTATGTGAGCTACAGGTGTGGTTCTTGCAGCGGTCACAGGGCTGACAGTCCCTCCCGAAATACCCAGGTCTACATCCGTCCACACACGCACCTGCAGCATCACACCTTCCCCCGCTACAACCTGCACTGCATGGAGAGGAGCACCGTGGACCATACCAGCCTCCTACACAGCCATGGATACACTCGCCACTCTGGCTGTGACACTCAGATGTACAAAACACTGAAGCACGTTCACCAGGGACCAGACATCTGATTGTGTCAATTGTGTTGGAGCTCAAACGACAGTGTTGGTTGCACACCTCAAGACAGTACACATCGTTTATTGTATAATTATTCTCACATTGAATGTTGCAGTGTACACCACCATAACCAGGTATACAACCTTCGGTGCATTCCTCAATGCCATTCCCAGTCGCCTTACACGCATTATTCTTGCAGGCTGGGTTACATGGTGATTTACACTTTCTGCCGAAGTATCCAGTGTGACACTCGGTTGTACATTGTCCTGTCTCGTCGCAGCCGGAACACGCCTGGTTGTCCGCGCACTGTGCTGTTGTAGAAAATAGATAGAAAACATTAACAATTCATCCCGTCATAGTCCGTGATTCCTATCGTAAATGTATGATATGTGTGTAGGATAAAACACGTCAGACGGTAGTTATGAGATCTCAAACCAGTTGTTTAATCCCAGGGTAAGTGATTTATCTAACTCATACATCGAAAAGAGAAACAACACTTTAGAACATTTTTATGATTCAAACATACTTTCCCTGAACCTTAGGCAACGGGCGTAAAATATTTGTTGTTGGCGTACGAGGACAACTAACATTCTGAAAGGCATGCTGTCGTATCAGCGCCTCTGTAGCCGAGGAATACACACTGGCTATGGATACGAATGTTGCGTGTTCGATCCACGGGAATATAAAAAAATCATTGGTCATTTGATTTTACATTTCATTACATTGTGTTCAAATGCAAACTTAATTTCTTGCGAGAAACTTTCATATTTTACAATATCAACGGAAGTTGTTTGAATGAAATTCCCGGGATATTATAACATTCCTGATTATGAGATTTTTCCCGACTGGAGAACAATAGGATGACGTCACTGGAGGTTTTTAAAGAAAGACAAAAAAACGCAACTATTCGTATTGTACACTGCCTACAAACAATCCTCATGCGTATTTGACACGGCGCTGATAGTTGCTTCCAATAGGATATACGCATAATATTTGCAAAACAAATTGCCCCTTTTGAGGGACAAAAGACATGAATAAATGATCGAAATGAATTCTTCTCCACGCTCATTGACAAACTGCGCCGCGAATAGCTGCAAAATTGCTGATGCGGCGTTAAGCAATATTCACTCACTCACTCACTCATTGACAAACTGGATATCGAAAGTTATGTTCAAATTGAACTTCTGGAAGAAAATGATATGCTCGCTTTATTCTGGGGCTCAGTAAACTTACAATCTGGAATTATGAACCAGTGTACATGGGAAAACATATCATTAATATTCTGTAAATATGTCTTAAATTTCAGAAAGGCATAAGATTAACCCCAATTTAATCTGCTTTATACTTATAGTGCTCACTTTAGTGCATAGTCAGTGACGAAAATATGTGTGAGTGAGTGAGTGAGTGAGTGAGTGAGTGAGTGAGTGAGTGAGTGTGAGAGAGAGAGAGAGAGAGAGAGAGAGAGTGAGAGAGAGAGAGAGAGAGAGAGAGAGAGAGAGAGAGGAGAGAGAGAGAAGAACTGTACAGCACAAAAATGGCTACATAGTTCGGGTAGATATGCAGAATGCCCGGCTACAGTATGCCCTTTGAGTCACCACATTTTCAGTCATTAAAATGCGTAAATCATGTGTGTGTGTGTGTGTGTGTGTGTGTAAATCATGTGTGTGTGTGTGTGTGTGTGTGTGTGTGTGTGTGTGTGTGTGTGTGTGTGTGTGTGTGTGTGGTGTTACCAGTACAATGCATTTGCTCTGAGAATATCAGAGATTTTGTAAATCTTCGGATGTTACTTCGGGAAGAAATTGATGAGGTGCTCGTCCGATTTAGGAATGACAGTTATATTGATTATCTTGAATGTATATTATGCCGCTCTGTTACAATGTCTGCTTATCCGTTCTTTATTCTGTGGTAAATATCTACCACAACATATAGGGGATTATTAGCTGCAGGAAAAAACTGTCAGTGGTTGATTGATTGGTTATGTAAACTTGTTCCCCATTTTGTTTGCAGATGATTAGATTTTATTATCCGAGACGTCAGTCTACTTTGTTACTGTAATGAGGTAAATATGAAAGAAACAAAGGTAATGGTTTTTGGTAAAAGGGGTCGCTTCAAAGGCGATGACTTTTGGTCTGTTGATGACAGGGCACCTGAGGTTGTCGATAATTTTAGTTGTTTAGTAAAATATAATTACCCACACCGGAAAGTTTAGACTTGCCAGGCTGATTTGGTTGGTAATAGTAAAAACAAGCCATACATGTTTTCTGCATAATATTAGGAAATGATATTTGTCTGCATGAACAAACGGCAAATTATTTGATACTTTTTGATACCTTTTATATCAATTACGGATGTGGAATTTAGGGATTCTGTTACGCTGTAGAATTGGAACGGGTAAATTTAAAAGGACAATAATACTGCAGTTTATGGGGATGTATTTAAGAGTATTAAGCTACTGGTTTACTTTTTCAAAAATGACAAATTGTCTTTGAAGTTAGCCTATGGTATTTTCGCGAAACAAGTGTAGTGAGTGAGTTGGATTAAACGCCGTTTTTAACAGTATTCCAGTTATAACACGGCGTGTCAGCTTAATGTGGGAGGAAAGCCCGAAGTGATGAAGGCCTCAGACGATTATCATTTCTGAAACCCACGAGCACGGGTATGGTGCTGACAAACCTAGAAACATAATCGGGGCGAACTGGGATTCGAACCGACAATCATAGGTTTCTGGCGTGCCCAAGGGACGCAACTCTGCACAGCGAATCGCAGCTTCTTAGACGACTGGGCCACCTGTGCCCCCTGCGAGTACGTAGAAGGTACAGCAGATATAACAATTCAGCTTCTTTAATAACGTCTAAGCAACTTCGCAATGGAAAGGTATATCACTAGATATAAATGTACTTCATTTATAAAAGAATTTAATATCTTAGAGAGGTCGCTTGATGACAGTAAATCATTTTGGAAGCAAGAAAAATACATTGGATTTAATAGTCCATCTCAAATAAATATTAGCGCATATAATTGGTACGAGTATTTTAAAGATCTGTTTCAAGTTTCAGCTTTGCACAAAGATGAGTTTAGACCTACACTGGATGTTTATGATGCTGTTGCTGAAGCAGCACGTCATCGTGAGTCCACACTTACACAACAAGAGATACTAAATGGTATACAATCATTGACAAGAGCGGTAAGTCTTCAGGGTTAGATATGTTATTACCGGCATCATGTAAAATAAATTATGCCATACATGCATATTTTATTTAAATAAGATTTATTCAACAGCCCAGTTTCAACGTGCTTGGGGTAAAGGAATAATAGTGCCAATTTATAAAAAATGGCCCAAGAGATGATCGTAATAACTACAGAGGTATAAGTTCAAATAGTGTATTCAACAATAATTAACTGTAGATTGAAAACATGGGCCGAAAATAATAACAAAATAGGTGAGAAACAGGCAGGTTTTCAGCCCGGATATTCAACAGTGGATAACCTGTTCACACTTACTGCCTGTATACAAACAAATTGAAGTAAACGTGGAGGTAGATTTTATGCTGTATTTGTTGAAAAAAACCTTTGATTCTGTAGACCGAAAAACACTTATGTATGTTCTCCGCAAATGTGCCTGTTAACACTGCAAACACGAAAACGTCGTTTTTTTCCGTATATGGTCATTGGACGGAAAAACGACGTTATTTGGACGTTTTCAAACCATCGTTTTTCCGTCCAAATAACGTCGTTATTTGACACTTATTCATTTACTTGTATCGGAAATTGAATGTTCATCTTAATTGTTATTGATGAACACGTAATATATTTTTAAAGAAATAAAACAGTGACATAATAACTACAACTTTATGTGAGCACGAGTAGCTCTATTGGAATGAGATGAATAAGTGTTATAAAGTTGTAAGCTTCTTCACAACAGTGTAACTGTCGTGATATTTGCGTAGAATATAATATGGTCATGCCCATAAACATTTGTGTCTTTGTCTACATGAGCATTTAGAAATAAATTCTATTGCTAAGGACATTGCTAAATCTGCAGGAATGCAGTACACGTCATAGCAAGTCATCTTTATTCACACTTTAGATATTCGTAATGGAGATCTGTAACTGAAGTTTATTGTAATCTTCCGCAACTCTCACTTCCCGACCAGTTGCACCTCTTAGTGCATTCTGATGCCATTGTAAATTTCCAGGCTGACCCTCTTTCTGTGATGTTTTGACGAATGAAATCTATTGCGTTATATTAATCTCTGTTTGCTGATATTCAATAGGTACATATTGTAAAATATTTAATATTTTAAACGTGTAATTCGATGCATGCAATGCAATGTGAACATAAGTGCGGATGCACGAAGGCGGTTATAGTCATAGTTATGGTGCAATGGATGTAGGGGAATGGTAGGAGGGTGTATGTATGTAAGCACGAATACCGATACATCAGGGCGGATATAGTTATAGGTCGATGGATGTTGGGGAATGGTGGGAGGATGGATTATGTATGAAAGCATGCGACTTGATCCATGATGGCTGACGTAGACATAATGGTGGGGAAAGTAGAATGTGATGTGTGTGTGTGTGTGCGTGCGTGCATGGGTCGTGAGGGTTGGCGAAGATGTTGTGAGATGATTGTGTAAGTAAGTTAAGTGGTTGAGGATGTGGCAGGTATGAGTATTGATACATGCAGACTTGGGGTTGGGGGACTGGGTGTGCCTGTACTGATGTCTTTTGTTTCATTCACTTATAGTGTATCCTTTACTCAAATAATGATTTACGCATTTTAATGACTGAAAATGTGGTGACTCAAAGGTCATACTGTAGCCGGGCATTCTACATATCTACCCGAACTATGTAGCCATTTTTGTGCTGTACAGTTCCTCTCTCTCTCTCTCTCTCTCTCTCTCTCTCTCTCTCTCTCTCTCTCTCTCTCTGTCTCTCTCTCTCTCTCTCTCTCACACACACACACACACACACACACATTAATTGTTTTAGTATCCTCGAGAGTCAGTGAGAAACTAGAAATAACTGCCTTTGTTCTGTAAATCTCAACAAGTTTCAGCTTTCGCCTCTTCCTTTGTGGAATGAGGTTTCACATTTGTAAAATGATCTCTTTTATCTGTCTGTACCATCAACTTAACAGCCCTCGCCCCCTGCAGAGTTTTCCCGTCCCATATTGCCAAGCAGGGGGCCCACAAGGAGAAATACGGCCCTCCCTCAGTCCAATTATACTGTGCCTAGCACAGTATGTTGTGAATACGTAGCCTTGCTGTGCCCAAACATTTTGTAACAATTTGGCAAACTTTAATATGT